TGTGAACAATTAAAATGAAAGGCTTTAAGAGAAATTAATGTGAAATGGGTACATAAATTTTAGAAATGCTTTTCAGTAACCACTACGAAGAGGTAATATAAATAAATTTAGTACCTTTTAGTAAGTTTCATTGATACTATATACTATATAAAGGGACCAGATTATTATTGTTCCACATGGTCAGTTGCGACATAACCGTTGTTTTAAACTGTTGTAAATTATTTTTAACGGCTTTTAGTTACGGGTAGCATAAATTGCTTGTAAAATATAACTTTTACTAGCTTACTATCTGAGTTTACTACAGATTTTATAATCATTTTGTATAGAGCAATATAACGATAAGGTCTGGACATTGCTTTTCAAAGTCGCCCATTATATGGGCAAATTTTAAGGTACCATACTTGGATAATAGGAAGAAGGTTTTATTTCTAAGTAGTTCGCTAGTAACTAAATTTCTGTCGGCGGATACATGTGTTGAAACAAATAATTACAATAAAACATGAAGTATTTTTGATTGGTTATTTTTTAAAGCTTCAGATAAAAGTTGTATGTTTTCGAAGAAGAAATTAATTGACAAACTTGAATGTAACCATACTTAACCTTGACTTTCTGACCTTTGAGATCATTTACAGGCAAGTAATTGTTTTTTGACAATCAGAAATACTCTTGATTGCCTTCCTCACCCTTTCGTTTCAATTCACGTCTTCATCCTTTAGGAATTCAATTGCCTCCACTGATGTTATAAAGAATTCTTCTGTTTCATGATATTTGTTATCTGCAGCCAAAATTTACGTTTCGCCGTATGTCTATAATCTTTAAGTTCTTTTTCTTTTAGTATTTATAAATATTATACTTCTATCCATAGACAATGTTTTGGAAAATATAATTTTCCCAATTTTGTTGCAGTTTCCTAATATTTTAAATATTTATTTCAGTTATAAACTAAAATTAAACTAAAATATTTATATCACCTTGCTGTCTTTGTAAAATAATAAAACTCACATGTGCACATCATCTCATACAACAGAAATAGTTTTTGTTTCCTTTTATGAGAAACTGGATTTGGAAGTCGTTATCAATGTCAGGGTTTTAGCCACCATAATGTAAGATATTATCAAGACTTTTTAGGTAATAAGTAAACTAAAAAAAGACTCGTAATGTAGATAATGCCTGCATTAAGCGTAGGAGAAACAAGTGTTTTTAGTGAACAGATTTTATGTAAAATTAGGATTTTCTCTCATTTATCATTGTTTACTGTCTTAGTTAATAATTAATTTCTTCTTGAATAATTATGGGAACAATAAAAGACAAAACAAAATAGTCGAATTAATTTTGAAAAAGTTACTTTTTTTATCTTGATTCCTTGTAGGTACTTTTTGAACACTCGGTAGCAATTTTGGCAACTTTGGAAATATTTTTGCAATTCCCATTTGAATGACTTGATGCAAACTTAAGTACGATTAATTAAAGATGTCAGTGGCTCGTGCATTACTGTTTTTATAAGCATTTGAAGAATGAATCAAACGAATATTAAATATTGAAGATACGAGTGATCGTACTCTATCCTAACTAATGTCACAGATAAATGCGAATGTGAGTTTGTTTGGTTATTACGTTTTCACGCCGTAACCGCTTAACCGATCGTCATGAAGTTTTGTATACACATTGTCAGAAGTACAGAAAAGGATATAGAGTCCCTTTAATATAAAAAATACTGTTTCCAAGGGATAGAAAAATGTTTTGTGGTCGTTGATGATCCTCGACACGTATTTAGGACATCAACGCCAGCGAAGCCGTGGATAAAAGTTATTTCATCTGATTTATTGATTAAAGAATCTTAAACAGACGTTCGATTTATTTAAGTTTTAACTTTTAAAAAGATTCTTCTCTTTAAAACTAATCGTCTAGAGTAGACGTAAGAAAGTTTTAGTGTTGGTGCATTAACGAACTGGCTTTGTTGAATGAATAATGTTTGACGGAATGAAGAGGTAGGCAAGGGAGACGTTTCAAAGATAATCTTGTGAATCTTTTATTATGGTATGAAGGCTGTTGCCGCCTACAGTGCTGATTAAAAAGGAATTCGTTGCATTTCATTCATGCTGACGAAGGAACTTTTGGGGAGTTCGGATTTCACAAATTCGGAATATAGGTCGTTTCCGGTACGTGTCAGAATAGGACTGACGCAGAATTACAATGTATCTTTTTACGCGTTCGGAATGGCTAATGAAAAGGAAAAGAATTGAAGATGATTGAAGAACGATTTGAGTATTTATTAGTATCTTTCGTTATGGCAATATGTATATAAAAGTAAATTGTAAATTTGATCTTTATTAGGGGCTCGACAAACAGGAACTATTCGCGAGAAACGAGTTTTGAATTGGTGAAGTTGGCACCCCCCAAAACGTTAAGTTCGAAAATAATTTACTAGGTTGGTTTGTCATTCACTAGTCCACGTTTATCCAGGAAAAAGTTTATATGCTTATTGATCAAAGAAAGTATTGCGAATAAGAACAATTGAAGGTGTTTTTCACCAAAACTACAAACATCCGAAAATTCTCAATTTAATTGCCCAGTTCGTTTGATCAAGGTCAGTACATTACAACTTCAAATTGAAAATATCGCAAATGAAGTTTTTAGAGGAAAAACCAGAAGCCTGCAGTTGGACAAACGAATTTTTGGGTTGGACAAACGAATTCACCCCTTACAATGGAGTCTTATACCCCCTCTACCGTCAAATATAACCAATTTTCGTTTACATTTTAATTCCGTACAGCTACGTTCCTGAGGTTGGACAATAGGAAAAAACAATTGAAAAACGAAAATATCCNTGACAAATATTCCTTTGTCCACCCTTCAAATTCAAAATGTCGCAAAAGAAGTTTTTTAGGGGAAGAAACAGAAGCCTGCAGTTGGACAAACGAATCTTTGGATTGGACAAACAAACCAACTCCTATAAAGTCAAACTCACCCCTATAGTGGAGTTATATTGCCCCCGTCAAATATGACCAATTTTCGTGTACATTTTAATCCTGAGCTTGGACAATAGGGAAAAACGGTTGAAAAACTAGAATATCCCTGCTACATGGGGTTAGTTTGTTCGTTTGCTAAGCCTATTGGTAGTTTTCCATGGGAAACCTATTGAGTTAACCCTCTTTTATAGTTTTTAATACTGCTGGAGCCTAGCAACTGCGCGGTTTAGGTTCTTCCCCTAAAAAGAATTTTTTTACAATAATTTGAATTTGAGGAAACATTTGGACATACATGAACGAGGTTTGGGTAAACGAACTCTGTACAATGGAATTGAGAATTTTCTGATTTTTGTGTTTTTGGTGAAATGTTTGTACAATTTTTCATTTTCGAATAATACTTTTTTGAAGCATGGAATGAATTTGGTATTAAAGTAATAAAAGTTCGATGAAAAGCACATGTGAGTATTCCAATAGGTAGTCATTTTGCAGTGTAAACAATGTTATTGACACTAATAAATATGTATGATAAAAGGGATATTTTCTCTATTACTACGATGTATTAAATTTATTTTGGCATTAAATACTGTCGAACAGTAAAACATTAATACTAAGGTGAAGGTACTGTATATAATTCTTTTTCAAATTGACATTTCAATTAACGTGTAATAGGGTGGATTACCTACCCTTCAAGTACCTTTCGGAATATAAAATTACCCCAGCATTATATTTTATCCCTAGTAAGTTATTAATTGTTTAAGCGTTTATAGTATAAAACAAATTTATCATTAAACTATGCATTCCTAATACTATTTACTTGGACCACTTTTTTTTTCGATTCAATCTATAAATAGAGAAAAAAGGTTATAATCTTAATAATTTCCAACTACCCTCTGACAGTTAGGTTAGAGTTAGTTCAGTTAGTTGCCTTTAATTGTGTAATTAAATCGAAAAAGCGTTGTGCTTCGATTAGAAAGTATTAGGGAGGGGATACGTAGATAATTAAAAGACATCTTTTTTTAATTAATCCTGTTTTTTGTCAAAATTCTCGGACGATTAATAATTTATTAACGTTAAAAGATACAACTGGGGAAATTTTATATTCGGTATATTTTTAATCTATCACACCTTAATAAAAAAGTCTTTAAAAAAAATCGCGGCGCAACTTTCACCCTAGTCACATTAATGTCATTTTTAAACTCTATCTTCGTTGTTGAATTCTTTTTAACTGCGACATCAATTATATCCTTATATTCAACTTAGTCTAGTGTGCTTTTTAGAAATGCCTAGATTGCGCGAAAAAATTTGGTCCTTGCACACAAAAATTAGTTACAGCCTTATCACCACATTAAACATAACAATATTTTTTATACATTTATTTAAATTAACCAATAAATATCTGAATAAATTAAACTTGACTGTTACAGTCTCCTTGACCGTATAAGTAATACATTTTAATTTTGTTTTACCTTATAATACTACGTAATACGAAATTGTTGTCTATAAACAATATTATTTTTTGACAAAGATGTGTTTGACTTTCTCCTTATTGCAACATTTAACAATTGAATTTTGAATAATTCGTAAACAAATAACGCTACCCTTATCATAAATGGGTAGGTACAATATTAGGATAAAAATTACTTAGGTATATAAAATTTAACATTAAATTTATTCTGTTTTCGTAAACATTCCTTATTATTATTATAACCACTTTCTTGCAACATTTACCTATGTAGAAAATAACTTCTCAATAATTTTTGATGAGATTTTATTTTAATTTGGTGAAAGAGCCCTTTATCGTACAAGCTACAAATTGTGATTAATAGTATAATTAATTTACATAATTTTATTTATTGGTAATCGATGTAGCAATTCATTTGTCCAAAACAAATGAAACAATTAATTGATGTTTATTTTACAGTACAGTACTTATGCATTTCTTTTCTTGCTCCAATTTTAGTACCTACTTACAACAACAATAATACAATAATAAAATATTCTGTTTTAGTAACTAGTAAAATTTGGTTTCAGGAAATTCAACAAAATACATGAACAAAAGGAAGCAGTAGGTAAGTCGTGATTCAATCATATATTAAAAAAAATAATATAATTTTTGTGTCGTGGTTAGCCTAGCATCATTATTTATTTATTTAATTTAAACATGTAGCATTTTAAAGTCTACTGATGATTATGAAATTGGATTTATCCTTGCTGCGATGACAAAGATTTGACAGACTTGACTAGACACAGAAAAGGTTTTTTTTAGGGTAAATGGGTTATACATATATATATTACAAACTATCTGAAGTATCTACTAATATGCTTTCAAAAATGTATTATAAATTGAGGTTTAGTTTTACGTTTAGAATTTTATAGGTTTGTTTCACAGTATATTTCGATCAAACGAAATCAATTAATTACTGTGCTTTGGTGTAGCAAGTATTTTTTTTTAATGGTTGGGTTTTTATTAATGGCGAATTTAGAAATATATAATAAATTGCTTTTCGAAATTACAGAATGTGCTTTGACACACAATTCTACGATATAGTAAGTAACAAAATTTAATTCGTTTTTGCACTATATCGTCAAACATTATTCTGGTACAGTAGGAGCGTTATAAGTTTAATAAATAATATTTTCTTTTATAAATAAATCTTTGCTTACTTATTGCGAATACTTACATTTATATTAAGTTAAAATTGATAGCGCTCCCTACTAAATCTTCTCGAAGTAATGGTACCAAAGATGCTGATCTGGAACAAAGATATTTAATTAATAACAAATTGTTATACAGTGTTATTAGTGTCAATATGTTATTAAGACTTTTCCTGATTTTAATTAGATTGGAAAAGTAACCTGGAAATGAATACTCATTAGTACCAAAACTATATGTACCTATATATGTTTCGAGGGCATATTAACGAAATAGTTTTAATACTTATAAAACCTCTGAAGGGCGTTAGTTAAAGGAGTATGCTAGTCGTCAATTGAACCATTCTCAGATAGTAATGTTTAAGAAGAGGGTCAGGCTATTTTATGTTTGTAAATAATCGATGAACAGTACATTTATGATCGACAGGCAAATATCCATTTTCTACAATAAATCATTGTAAAACATATTATGTTAGAAATGAAAGCTTTTTAATTGAGACAAAAATCCTGAATTTCGCCATTTGTTATATATAACATACACATGCAAAACTATTCCTAATATAACGTCTTGTAGGTAAACCAATTTTCCTTGGCTTAAACTTTCAATAAGGGAAAATTACTTTCAATAATCAATTCATCATTATAAATTATTATATTACCTTTTCGTTGATTCAGAAACTGTCTCAAAGAAATAAGAATTTTTATCATTACAGAATATAGTTAAACTATATATAACTAACTTCTATTAATTTTAGGTCTGCTTTAAGTAGTTACTACTTGGAAACAACAAGAAATGCTTTAAAATTAATAAAAATAGTTTTGTTTAAGACAATATGTAATTGCCTTTATTTTAATTTTAATTTTCTAATTTGTGAAGATTTTCGTGACGATCTTAAATAAACAGGGAAGGTAGTTGCGGAGTTGATTGGTACATCACGTTCTAACGTAGGAATTTTTAAACTTTCGGCAGGTTTTAAACAATTTATTGTACATTTTTTTGGTAAAATGTAAACTGACTAATTGTACTAAACTTCGATGGAGAATAATTTTCGCTTTGAATATCCCTTACCCACTTAGCAAACGTGGCTGCAACCATTAGAAACGAACTGCGTGCGCCTTCAGTTCGTTTCTACAATTTCCCGGAATATCCTGGGATACAACGGGAATACGGCATTTTACATATACCGGCAACGCAACACAAGAATATCGCACGAGTAATTACTTTCGATCGGAACACAATCGAATACGTGCGAATTATTCAGATTGTAACAATTGTATGTCTGTGGTTGTTTTGATGTATCAGTAGGTGCTGTTAATTATAATTCGAATAAGCGTGGAATGTGCTAGATATTAATTATTTGATGTGAAAGTAAATTGGTCGAATTTCGACCACGCGTTTTATTAAAGTCCCAGGTTACACGGCGCGTGGATTACCAATCTACGCTCCGTGTAACGAGTTCAGCGCGGCCTTGAGCGAACAGACGCGTTGAAACACATTCTTTGAGAGCTTTTTATTGGGGCGGTGAGCGCGTGGAATACTGATCCATGCTTCACGCGTCTTATAACATGACCTTATCAGGTTCGACGCAACTTGGAGCGGACAGGAACGTCCTAGTGGTTTTTTGGCTTCTTTTCACAGTCGCGGTGTGCGCGTGGAATGCCGATTCACGCTCCACGCGCCTTAACGGGTTTGGCGCGGATTGAAAAGCATAGGCGAGTTTTAGCGTTTTGTTTGACATCTTTTACGGGGGCGGTGCGCGAGCTGAATGCCGATCCATGCTACACGCACCGTGTAGCATGACCTTCTTCGGTTCGACGCGGTCTAAAGCGAACAGGCGCATTCTAACGGTTTCTTGGCTTCATTTTACGGTGGCGACAAGCGCGTGGAATGCCAATCCTCGCTCCACGCGCCGTATAACGTGGCCTTAACGGGTCTGACGCGGATTGAAACGAACAGGCGCGTTCTAGTGCTTCCTTTGATTTTATTTCGCGACGGCGGCGTGCGCGTGGGGTGCTGATCCATGCTCCACGCACCGTGCAACGTGGCCTTCACAGTCCATTATGCGATTATGAAAAGTGAATTTATTTTCGCCAAAAATTAAGCGTAATCACTTTGAATCGTAGTAGTATTAACAATCTTACTTTGTATGTTCTATTACGCATTGATAAATAATTAATAATTTGTTTAAACGTTTAAGAAAACTTTTAAAATTTATCTAATTGAGACGACCCCATTCTTTTCCTTTGTATTGGAGTTAACAAAGGATTTAATTATAAACAATTCAAGGGAGTCTCATGACGTTGAGGGATGGAAAGTAATGACCTACTTCGTTTACTGCTTTTTGAAAAGGGCTTGCTTTTATCAGAAATTATGGTTTCAGAAATTGTCGTCGTAGTGTGTAGGTATTATGTAAACATTTCTACTACTTGAACCATCACGAAAGTACTAACCTTATCGGTAAGGTCGGTCACGATAGAAATTCGAACCGTTCTAAAATGGAATTGGCATTTGTTCTATCGATAATTTTGCGGGGCGACGTGCTTTTGCAGTTCCAGTTTATTGGAACAGCCTCGGTTACGCATAACCTAATATCCTTTAATTTAATTTTTTTTTTGTAGGATAAGTTAATTGACTATTTTTTATCTTGANACGTAACAAAATACAATTAAAATATTGGAGTAGCAAAAAACATCAGACGAAGATAACAGGCTATACGCAATGTATGAATAATAATGTTCGTGTGCAAAGTGTGTACTATATTGGTAAATACATATTATTATTGAATAGTAAAATAATATCTTTTATTTCTCTCCATTTAACGACCACTCTTTATAACGCCGAAAGATGTTCAGTCCCTAAAGTGTCGTTATATAGAGTTTACACTGTATTTCAAATAAATCACATTTCTGGGTATTATTGTTAGTTTTGGTTTAGTTCGTTCGTTCTTGGTTTTAATCTTGCTAGTGTAAAGACAGTCTTAGTCCTGGTTTTGCTCATCACTAATTTTGTTGTGATAAGAAATCATCTGATTGGTAATCTCAGTGTGATTAATTTAGCTTTTCGTTTACTATTGTTCGGTAAATTTATTCTAAACCAGAATTACCATTTCGATTCGATATACCTTGGTGTAATACCTAGTCGTTGATGGACGAATAAAGGAGTGAATACGTACCTACGGCGGGACCCATTCGTTAAGATTGGTCCAAAACGTGCAATCTAATTTAAACCGGCAATAAAACTTTATCAGGTTTTTATGGCGCACTTTTGTCGTAGAAAGCGCGGTACGTGTTTCGCGACACACGTCGACATCGGCGCGATATCTTCAGTTTTGCTTCCCTACAAGTCAAGGGAAATACGTTTAAAACTCGACAACAGTTCATTGTTGTTACATATAGGTATACGCTCTCGAACGGAATGAGATTGTAAAGTTGCATCACCTGCACATCTGCCTACGAGATGAGAAGGGGAGATAGGGACAGGGTTTTGCTACTTCTTCTTTTAAGTATGTACCTGTACGTATACAAAGTTACGTAGTACTTCCGATCTGGGTTGTTTTCCGGCACAATTATATCCCAAGTTCCGGAAAATTANTAATTTAAACCGGCAATAAAACTTTATCAGGTTTTTATGGCGCACTTTTGTCGTAGAAAGCGCGGTACGTGTTTCGCGACACACGTCGACATCGGTGCGATATCTTCAGTTTTGCTTCCCTACAAGTCAAGGGAAATACGTTTAAAACTCGACAACAGTTCATTGTTGTTACATATAGGTATACCCTCTCGAACGGAATGAGATTGTAAAGTTGGATCACCTGCACATCTGCCTACGAGATGAGAAGGGGAGATAGGGACAGGGTTTTGCTACTTCTTCTTTTAAGTATGTACCTGTACGTATACAAAGTTACGTAGTACTTCCGATCTGGGTTGTTTTCCGGCACAATTATATCCCAAGTTCCGGAAAATTATGAGTTAATAAGACTTCCAGGCGCTTACGCAAAAGTTTTCTATTGTTTTTTTTTTATTTCATTGCAGAAGAAACAAACAAAAGACTAACTGCATAATGACAGCAGTTTGCTAAAACTCATCTGATCAGTTAAGAAACAGGCAGAAAAATAAGTACCTACAAATGCTGTCGTATTTTTCTTTTGCGACGTTTCGTTGCCTTGGCTTGCCAACATATGCTAATCGTGAAAACATTCGGTCATATTATTAAACATCGGCCTACTGGTTGACAAATCAAGGTCACGAAACATCGCAATAGAAAATACATGAACATCTTGTATTTATTCTTCTATCTGACTCTTTACTGAGTTCGAAAAAGTTAGTGAAACGGGAAATAAATGGTGATTTATACGAACTGTCTACGTTGAGCGTGCTAATGAGAACTAACGGCTTTAAAACCGCCGTCCACGTCTGTCAGCTTCAACTGATCGTTTTTGGTCAAGAACATTATCTGTTAGCTGTAGATACGTGCCGATTATGTAGATAGCTGAGTCGTGGGTTCAATTTGAGAAGTCGATATTCTTAATTGAAAGGGACCCTGTCAAATATCATTAGAATCTCAGAATTAATGGCAAATTTTCTACATCACGCCTTCACTAATACGTCGTCGTCTATAAAATTATTCATATAAAAGAATAAGAATTAAAAAAAAAAATCGGTTGTCTGTAAAGTCGGTTTACTGACGATAGTTGAACGTGACAACGTCATAAGAAAATACTGATGGAATGGTTTCATTCTTCAAAAGAAAATTTTAATTTAATTTTATTTGTTTGATAGATATTTTGTACTCAAGTAGGAGAGAGAGAGACAGATGTTGAACGCTGCCGAACGCGGAGGCCGATTGTGCCTCTTTGTCGCTCGTTCCGCGCTCTCGCTTGCACTTCAAGCCTTAAATGGAACGCCTCAGAGTGAGGTAACGCCGCATGAGTCATGTTTTTTCGTGCGTGCAGCCGGGCTCCATCGAATTATAAGACGTTGTCACGTCAAAAAAACCAAATGACAAAAAAAAAGGTTTTTATACGCACAGATTTATACGAAGTACATGGGTACATTATATTATTTTTAGGGTTCGGAACCCTAACCGTTTTTATTTAGACGATAGCACCGATACTTCGCCTTTGATATAATTCTTCTTTAGGATAAGTTAATAATTTTGCAATCTGTTCTGAAGATGCTTTTTAACTAAAGCGAAAAGTTTGTGTTGTTTACTGTACTTAACTTGGCCTTAATTTTTATAATAGAATCTCGAAAAGGAGAAGGAATAGAAATTGATAGATTGGGTGGTAACTTTTAGGATGGATTTTGTTTTTGTTATCTGATACGGCAAAATACGTATCCACATAATGTTTAAAATAAAAGACTTAAAAGAGTATATCTTGGGTATTTGAAGTTGTTTCAAAGTTTAGGTTTGGTCCGATCGGTGTGGGAAGTTGGAATTGAATGGTGCCATTACAAAATTGAATTTTCAATAAGACGATCCGCTTTTTAACCTTGTTTGCAAATCAAAACTCTTAGAGTTTCAATCACGTTATTTTCCGAGAAATATGTATAATAAACTTTTCCATTACTCAATATTGAAAACATGATAATGGAACATATGTATGTATGTTATTCAACGTTAGGTTTTTTTGAATTTTAAATACTCTTTTTGACTAATAAAATTACAAGGAGGTTAAAAGAACGGTGTAAACTTTTAATTATTCGTGACTAGTCTTTTACAATACAAAAACAAACTATATTACTAACGAACATTAAGTCATGAGTTAGCAATTTACTTATATACCTACTTACTAGGATTTGATTAATCGACAAATAAAGTTGGACTAATTCTAAGATCGCCCTTTGCAATAAAAAAGAACAGTCTATTACTGAGTGAGTAAAATAATAAATAATCTACGAACTGTATGGAATGAAGTAAGCTTTTAGATGTGACCACTTCATATGGTACCTATTTTATCGAATTTAAACGTTTACAGTATAATAAGACAAATACACACTTTACATAGTCCTTTAAGGTCTCGTATAACCAGTCACTGAAGTATTAATTTTTGTTTTATATTCATCAGCGTAAGGTTGTCAGTCCTAAGAGTGGTTAGACACGCACCTCTACTCTTTCCTATACTAAGCTAATCTTCGCATTTATCTAAAAATAGAATATATTATGTATATGCCTTTAATATGTCTCTGACTAGACCTTTATACATGAGAAGATGTCCTACCAACCTATCTTTCCTATTTGTTATTGACTTCCACAGAGTCCTCTGTTCTTCTGTTCTTTCTAATATCACTTCGTTTCTAACTTTCTCTATCCACGCTATTCTCATCATTCGTCTGTAACACCACATTTCGAACACTTCTAAACTTTTTTCCGCAGCGATCACCGTCCATGTTTCGCACCCGTACAGCGCTGCACTCCAAACATACACCTTTAAGAATGTACTGTATCTTTAGTCTTTAATAGAACACCAGTGTGTACTTTGCATAATCAACACATAGGATATTAGTAAACATGAAGGGGCACACCCGAATAAGCGTTGAAACTAGCTAAGAAGTGCAACGTGTGCAATTTATATACAAACGTTTAAATGGTAATTGTTAAATTGCGTCGACTCACTGAGTTCCTTGGCGATTCGGTCATTAGTTTTGCATTTTCTGAAAAAGCCAATGATATGATTGCCGATATGTCGGTAACATTTTGGTAATCGATGACATTTGTTGTCCATTAAACAGCGCCCTTGAAAGCCTGACAAGTATAAAAAATGTGTTCTAAGTATTCCCTCTTAACAAATAAAAGTGGACAGGTGCCGCCCGCAGCCCTCACTTCGCCCCGCAACTACATTACATTCTTCGAAGTCATGACAAGAAAAAAGAAATGGGTAACAATAAGAAGTAAAACATTCTTGAGTAATCCAGCGTTTCTTTTTATTATCTTTCGACGAGCTTGTTGTTTTACGTCTTAAATTTTGCCTTAAAAGCGTAACCCAAGACAGAAAACTCTTAAGTATAGGACAAACTAATGCTTAGGGAACTCTTAATGTAAAGAAACTTTCTGTGCGAGGTAGGGCGGATTTTGGTTTCTCAAATTAGGACGCTGCTTAAAACGCCGAGTTCAAGTTAAACAAAATGAAAGAAAGAAAATGTAATTACCTTTGTTAAGACGTCCCCAGAACTAGGTGTCTTGTTGTAGAATTATCTACGTAAGTTTAAGCTATTTGAAGTACTGAAACGTACTCACAATATAATTCCAATGCTTAAAAATAGGGGAGACACGTAGTATAAGGAGGTATTCTGATCCCAGGAGAATTAATTAGAAAAACTAATGTTACAGTACTAAGCACCACTATATGGTCACTTCATCCCCTTTGTCCCCGTAAATATTAGAATTGAGAGTTTCGAATTTCTTATATACTATGTCTAATCAGTCATCATCATAAGGTCGTCAGTCCTAAAACTGGTTGGACACGCATCTCCACTCTTTCCTATCCTGAGCTACTCTTCCATAAAACTGGAACATCCCACATCCTCAAGTGATCAGTATTCCAGAATATTTCAAGGGTTACATTTGGAGGCGTTGGCAAGTGCACCTCGTGATAGCACCACAACGTAGGGGATATAAAAAGTATATATAAAAAGTACCCCAGTTAACGAGCTGTCACTGATTAAGAACAGTTACAGCGTTATCTTTATATAGGCTTTCGACGAAACACACATACCTGTTCGTAACCTTCGTAACAGCTGATACGCAGACAAGTCAATTGTACGTATTGTAACATGTTAATGTATATCACTGAGTGTTGCGAGATAACTCATTCTACTTCTTTTTCATGTACATTCTTTTCCCTAAAATTTTTCGGAATACTGATCAGACTGTATAGTAACTGTATAGCAACTGTATAGCAACCGCCTTAGTTACTTTGTTTATGTCATGCAATATGTTTTTCATCCTACTGTATCACATTACTTGCATATGAATGAAAAGTGAATGTTGTTTACCGAAAAAATCTCTAAAAGATCTCGAATGGATGGCATTATGAGAACGAGAATGGGAATGAGTAAGGAGAGTACTCCTGCCATTAGAAAATTAAATTTGCAAAATAAACAGATGATGTTTTTCCAAGAAAATAAAAAATTTAGTCTTTTACAAATGTAAGAACGATGTTGTTCTTTAAAAATTTAAATACAGACATTTTCTAGACACGTTTCGCAAATTGAGAGAAAGATCTTAAAATGAAGACGTATTGTAGAATTCCTGGTTGAGAATGACTGACGCTGGGAAAAATGTATAATGAATTGGAAGTATTATTAACATTTGCCAGGTATAATTTCTGAAGAAGGTAAACAAAATTTTAATATCAAATGAAATGTTGCACACAAATAAACAGAACAACAAGCATTAGAAAAATTCAATTTTTAACCATAAAATTTGTTAGTGACTTTTAGGGAGTTATATTAAAACATGTTAAATTAACATATTTTCGGGTCAGGCTAAAAATAAATAAAATATTCGTTTATTTTAAGGCATCCTATTGTATAAGTGTTTTCATTTTTGGTGTTAAATCTCAAAGCACATAATTCTGTGTTGTTACAGACAAAACCGACGAACTTTTGAGATTTTCAAAGCTACCCGAAGAAATGCCAGTATCTATGCTATATTTTAATCATATAATTTTTGTACTTACTCTGCGGCACCCCTTTGAAAAGCTGCGGGCATTTGTTTTGCTTGAGCAGCACGCGCTCGTGCTAGAAGACTCATGACCGTCCGTTTGGTGGGAGTCATGGACGTCCGTGGTCCGGATGCAGCCAACAGCGGTCGCTTGCGTCCGCTCGCTGCGGCAGCTGCAGCGGCTGCGGCTGCGGCTGCCGCAGCTCCACCACCCACCGCCGCCGCGTTCACCCCGTTACCGATCGGTTGTCCCTGTTGGATACCATTGCCAGGACATGACGATATCGTCGTGGAAATGTCTGACGGTGAACCTAAAACAAAAGCAGGAACGTTATGGACTTTTGATGTGTGTCTACATATAAAAATCAATATTAATTTTCGGTTTAACTAGTGAATTAGTGTAAATCTTTGTCTATTACCATACAAAAAATCAAATATTTATCTCGCAGCGTTTAATCACAATTAGTGTCCGACCGAAAGTTCGGTTTCGGTCGAATTTCGGCAGAAGAACGAGTTTCGGTTTCGGCGGCAAACCTGCCGAAACTACGACCGAAACCGAAACTGCGTTCGGGAGTTCTCGCGCTCTGCTCGGTTATGTTCGGCGCGTTAAATTTCATCCAAGCGAAGTAGATTAGTAGACATTTCGCCATAACATAAGATTGTTTAATTATGAATACTAATAAGAAATAACGATTACAGGTACCTGCTTGAAATTATTAGTAGTCGTCGCCTTTTACAATATTATGATCTGATAATTTAGTCGTTTACCTTTTGTTTCTGTTGAAGTTTAGTGTCATTCAACATGACGAATTAAGTTTAGAAGAAGTTAATTTGTTCTTAATTAAGATAAAAGTGATTTATTTTGTTTTGTTTATTACTTAAATATTAAGTTCCTATACCTATTGTGATATTAGGTAACAATAACAAAAGTAATTTTATGTTTAATATTATATAAAAAAAAACATGAATAATCTTCAAAAGAAAAATGAGTCTAGTCTACTATACTTACTCAAATAAACATCTCACCTATTTTAAGTATTTTTAAGGCGCAATTAAAGTATTACCTTAAATGAGGGGTTGTTATGTTGATTTTGATTTCATTATCAATAAGTGAAAATGTCAATGACTGCAGAGCTATGTTATATAAAAAAAAACATGAATAATCTTCAAAAGAAAAATGAGTCTAGTCTACTACACTTACTCAAACAAACATTTCACCTACTTTAAGTATTTTTAAGGCGCAATTAAAGTATTTCCTTAAATGAGGGGTTGTTATGTTGGTTTTGATTTGATTATCAATAAGTGAAAATGTCAATGACTGCAGAGCTATGTGATTTAAAGATAAAAAAATAAAACTGACTGATTACAATAACGTTTTCTTTATTTTTCTCTCAAAACATGATCCTTATAAGGAAGTTTCGGTTTCGGTTTCGGTTTCGGCCGAAACTGACACCATTGCCGAAATTCGGTTTCGGTTTCGGTCGTAAAAACCAGTTTCGGTCGGACACTAATCACAATGTTTAGAATAGAAACCCATGGTTTCGGAAAAATTCACATTAGGCACGAGCTGTCTATTTGCGGCCAATCCCCTTAATAATGTTTTCTGTTTACCGATTGCATCCGCGAATAAGGAACTTTTACTGTAACAAATCTGTTTAAAAACTGTCCAAATACAGATTGAAATTAATAATTAATTAGATAAATGTGTTTAAAACTGAATATTTCGCATGTTGTTTTACATATATAATTCGAATAAATCACATCTCTAGGGTGATATATATTGAACAATTATAGTTAGACATTTTGAAAGAGTTTGCGAGTTCGAGATAATACGAGTTAATAAACCATTGTTTGATTCCAGTTTATTGGTCATAACTTGAAGATAAATAACGAAGTTTGTATAGTTCGGTATCGGATATGTTTCTAATGGCAATATCATTCGGTTTCCTCGGACATATTAATTTTCAGCGAATGGTCCAGTAGATCAGTAAATTGAGCAATTTGCTGGCGTTAAACTTCCATGTTCCATTTCGACTGCATGGTCTGATGTTCAAATAATATTAATGATTTACAAGCAAACCCCGGGATGTATCCCTATACCTATACAGCATTAATTAACGATTTCTGTCCTGAATATCACCTGTTTCAATTTCAAGCTATCCGATAATGTGGGCTACCTCCCATACGAATTATGAAATATTCGAATATACAAACATAAATAAATGTAAGTGCAACAGAATCCCGATAAAGTCTTGAAAAACCTTTATATAGGGTTGTTCGGAAAGTCATTTCGTTTTTTTTTGTGGAAATGAAAGACAGTTTTCGTATAATAAACAAATGCTTTATTAAATTATATATTGACCGTTCTGGTCCAACACCTTTTGCCATCTTTCTGGTAGTAGCATAATTCCACGCTCATAAAATTTTTGGTCTTTGCTGGCAAAAAACTGATCGAGGAGGTTTTTGACCTCCTCATTTGAGGTGAAGGTTTTACCGTCTAAAAAATTTTGGAGTGACCGGAACAAATAATAATCCGATGGTGCCAGGTCTGGAGAATATGGTGGGTGTAGCATTGTATCCCATTCAAGCTGTAAAAGCTTTTGGCGAGTGACCAAACTTGTGTGAGGTCTCGCGTTGTCTTGGTGAAACACTACACCTTTCCTGTTGATTAGTTCTGACCTTTTCTGTTGAAGTGCATCATTCAGTTTGTCCAGCTGATGACAGTAGACTTCCGAATTAATCGTTGTGTTATCCGGTAAAAGCTAAAAAAAAACGATTCCTTTAAAATCCCACCAAACAGACAGCATCACCTTTTTTTGGTGAATATCGGCTTTGGAAATGGTTTGAGCCGGTTCATCTTTTTTGCTCCATGACCTCTTGCGTTTGACGTTGTTGTATACAACCCATTTTTCGTCCCCAGTGATGATGCGCTTCAAAAACGGATCATTTTCGTGACGTTTGAGAAGCGAATCGCAGACGTCAATGCGGCGACACAGATTTCTCTCTGTGAGAACATGGGGAACCCATACATCGAGCTTCGAGGATAATCCCAGGCCTTTCAAGTGGTCATAAACTGTTGAATTTGATAAATTTAACCTCAATCCGATCTCACGTGTTGTTATTCGCCGGTTCACATCAACTAATGCCTTTATCGCGTCTTTATCAGCTTCAACCGGCCTTCCCGAACGTGGTGCATCTTCGACATCAAAATTGCCGGATCGAAATTTAGCGAACCAGTTCTGGCACTGGCGTACTGTCAACACACCTTCTCCATACACATCAGTCAATTTCTTTCTGGCTTGAACAGCATTTTTACCCTTTCTGTAGTAAAACAGTAAGATATGTCGAAAATGCTGCTTATCGCTCTCCATATTTAAAAGGGCACCAACCAAAAACTACTGCGTAGAATTAATTGGAATTTTTCACACACAAGCCTTGCTATATGAGCTCTCAAAGCATATAAAAATTATACGGCTTAAATGTGAAGTTGGGTGCAAAAGAATACAATTAAATCCTCTGTCGGGAAAAAACGAAATGACTTTCCGAACAACCCTATAGTAAGAGAGTGCGACGAAGCTTTTCTTAAAGTTTGTGAAGTAATTATCATTCATTCGACTGTAGGTTTTTCTTTGTATGTCTGTTACGCGATTACTCCCTCAATTATGAATTGATTTTAATTATTCTTTTTTTGTTTAGGAGGTCATGCTTCGGAGGTAGTTACATATAAATTTTATCAAAATTGATTCAGTGCTTTTTGAAAAAATCGACGAAAACAAAAAGTATATACACTAAAAATTGAAATTTAGAAAAAAAAAATCGACTTCAAGACCATACCTACATGTACAAGCTTAAACTAAAGGGTAGGACAAAAGTTTGTTGCAAGGGTAGGATTAAACTGTCCCTGTTGACTGACCCAAACGGCTTTGCTGATTTTAATAAAACCGACATGAGGAGAAGGTTTTTAGGAGTGATTTAGGTTACTGTTTTGTTCATTTTTGTTGGATATAACCAATGTATTTTTTATAAACAATTTGATAGTTTGACATGGATGAAGTCGCGAGTCAGAGCTAATTTAGAATATAAATTAAATTATTTCAAGTACCTATTAAATTCAATTCGATAAAATTTTCACAAAACTATTAGTCAGGTAGTAGACAGAAGTCACGCGAACGGTTAATTTAGAAATTCGGAAAAGGTTATTAAAGGTGTATGTTTGGCGCGCGGCGTTGTACGGGTGCGAAGCATGGACAGTGGGCGCGGCGGAAAAGAAAAAGTTAGAAGCCTTCGAAATGTGGTGTTATAGGCGAATGATGAGGATAACGTGGGTAGAAAAGGTTAGAGATGAAGTGGTATTAGAAAGAATAGGAGAACAGAGGACTGGTAGGACACCTGCTCAGGTATGAAGGTCTAGTCAGAGACATATTAGAGGCAGAAACAGGAGTTAGGAGGGGTAGAGGTAGACCTGGGTTAGATTACTGTTCACAAATAGTTAAGGATGTGGGTTGTTCTAGTGTTAGGGAAATGCGAAGATTAGCTCAGTATAGGGAGGAGTGGTGGTGCGTGTCCAACCAGTCTGACGACCCTATGATGATGATGATGAAATGTTATATATCATTGGCTACTATTTGCACTGTATCTTAAGAAGCCTTTTTTTGTTTCTCCAACCTGAAATGCGATATATCTATGTGCCCCTAAAAATATATTTACGTTTCCGAGAAAGCTGTTTTTTTTTGTTTGACCTACATAATCTTAAGCCGTATTTACTTGGTTAGCGTGGCGCTTTTTAGTTTTTGACATGCTTTCCGTATGGTATACAAATGTTACACATCTATTCTGATCACTATTGAATATCAAAGGGGCCTCGTTAACGTTGAAAATCACGAACCTCAGAAGATTTATGAAGCATTAGAAACCATTTTGTTCGCAAACAAATTCACCGCCACGGATGCGACCGCGCATAAGCACCAGAATTATTACATCCTCGAACCTTACAATATATTATACATGTTTAAGGTACATATTAATAATAATCCGATAATCCAGGGTCCTCTGTACAATTTATCCTGTCCGGAGATTCTGTTAATTAACATATATTCAAAGGATGTAATATCCGCATCGAGGATTATCTCAAAGTCCTTTCGGTCGAAGTTCGAAACGTTGACTTCCTTTAGAATTTGCAATACATGAGTGTTTTCTCACAAGTGCATGGACAGTCTAATTATAATCCAGAGAAGGAGAGACGAAAGGGTTTTTTCCAATAGTCATCATCATGAAGGGCTACTTAGAGACATACAGGGCTTGTCCGGAAAGTAATAGGACTGAGTCGATTTAAAAAAATTTAATGGGCCAATCGTTACAATTCTTTAAAAGCTTTCAAAATAGGCTTCTTCTGTGTCGATGCAGCGCTGCCAGCGCGATTTCCAAGCATTGAAGGCGTCACGGAAGGCATTCTTTGGAATAGCCTTAAGAGCCGCGGTGCATGCTGCTTGGATCCCCTTTGTCGTCTCAGAATGCTTGCCTTTCATCGGCCTTGTCAGGCGAGCAAACAAAAGAAAAGTCCGGCATGTGGGGGGCACATCTGGGCTGTAGGGCGGCTGCGGAAGCGTTGGGATGCCGGCCTTGGTCAGGTAGCTGTCGTGGTGCAACTTCCAGTCGGCTGCGATGTCTTGTCGGACCCGATTGACCCTTCGTTTGAGTCTCTTGAGCACTTCCACGTAAAACTTGGCGTTGACGGTTTGTCCATGAGGAACAAATTCACGGTGGACGATGCCCTCCATGTCAAAAAAGACAATGAGCATCGTTTTCACATTGGATTTGCTCATTCTTCCCTTTTTTGGGCAAGAAGACGCCGGCATGTGCCACTCGGAAGATTGCCTCTCTGATCATGAAGGGCTACTTAGAGACATATTCTACGCTTTTACATAATGGAAATGCGGGGGCACTTGTGGAGCCCCTGAGTAGGGGTAATGTCTCGTCTAGGTCACCTTAGATCCTACTCTATTGAAATAGTAATTTAAAAAACAATTTTCCGCTGTAGAAGTTTACATTTCCTTTACGATCATATAACAAAGCAAAAAGAAACAAAAAGAGAAAACGACGATAAAATATAATTAAGTAATTCAAACAAGCCATTAAAATTTTGTTAGTTCTGAAATTTTCGCAGCGTAGGTAGGTATGCACATAGAAAAGTAAGAGTTTGCTCAACTTGAAGCGCAAAGAGCGGATCGAGGAAGGTAAACTGAGTCAAGTGGTGAAGGGTGCTGTGTAGGCGTACGTAGTACAAAAGGAAGAAGTGTCAAGCTCGAGGCATTTCAAGACTTTGAAGTTAAACACATTTTAAATTTCTTTGCCCGAGGTTCGGCGTGTTCTCACTATTGAATGCTTTTCAACATCGGACATAGCCGGTGAATTTTACCGTCATGAATTTTTAATTTCTCGTCCGGAAATTTTGTGTATCTTACGTAAGATAATTTAATTGCGCTAAGTTTCGACTGCGGCCGACGCTGGCTTTCATTGGAAGGCGTTTATGATGTAGATTTTTCTGAAACGGAAAGATAATGAACTCAGTCAACATTAATAGGAAAATAAAACCACACTTCCTGGAAAAACTTCCGCCAAATGGATGCTTGGAGCGGGACGGCATTGAAAAATTTAATTAAAACCCCTTGGTATTGTGGATCAAGGCGTCAATTATCTTTACAATAACGAATGCAAATTGTTAAATTTTGAACCGACTGATATTCCATCCTGTTCTACAAAATTCTTTAAAGCTAATAGAGTCATCGAACTAATTAGAGGACAACTATTAGCTATCAGAACCATAGAGTTAGTGATTAATTGATTCTTTTTATAAATGAACCTTTATTTGAGGTTGTGTGGGCTTTCGTAGATGGTTCTGGGCTGAGTTACCGTGGTCTACTTTAAATCAAATGCCTAAATGTTTCGTCTTCAGGTTCGAAAAGTATCTTCAGGGGTGTTCCAAATGAAAGATTCGATGTTGAATCTTTGACCAAAAATAGAATATGGTGATCAAAAATAATAAATTAAATAATATAAAATAATATCAATAAATGTTGCTCTATGAGGTTAACGATTCGTTTTGTAAATAATGCGTAATTTGAAATTTAAATTAAGCAAATACCACAAAACCATAATTATACTAAACCCATGTTTCTATTGTTAGAGATATCACGGGACACATTCTATAACCCAGTGTTTACCGCAAATTAACCTCAAGATATCAATCAGTAACCTGATTGTTTGACATGTTCTTAATTGGTAGTCTATTTGTAACATGCTAATTGATTATCAACCACAATCGATCAATTCTGCTTCAATCAGTTGTACTTCAAAAATACACAATTAATACGGTAATAGAAATGTAAATTGAATTTGTAATGTATTGTATTTTATGAAACATTACACATAGATATATATGTACAAGGTTATTATCAAAATCTTGTTCTTCATTGGTTGTTAAAAATTATTTATTTTTCATTGTTACTAGTTTTATCTGTGGCTTGACAGCTTCGTTTGGATTGAACTAAGCCAATACACTACACAGGTTTAAGTGGACGCTAGAGTTTTGGCCTTTAGGTAGGTTCTTTCGTGGGGTTGTAACTACTTTTATTAAATTCAAAGTTCCAAAAAACAAGGATTAAGGTAAAAGGCCCAGTTTCTGACACTCTAAGAGTGACAGCTGAGATTATATTACGATAACTAAAATAATATTTAATTAGAATAAATAATTTTTATACTATAAACAAGTTCAGAGTTTCTAGAAAAACTCATATACGCGATATAATTATTTGAAGCGAATTAGTAATTTTAATTAATGATTTAAAAAGTGATGTTTGAAGACCCAGTTTCTGACACTTAAAATTTCTTGTGCTGTAGTTTCTGACACTGCCATCGGCCTAGTTTCTGACACTCATATTTGATAATGATTCTCTCTAGGTTAAATTATGTATTATCAAGTTTAAATAAACTGTAAGTAATTAAGTATTCATTAAAGATAAATTAAATATTTATTATAAGTAAGATATTGTTATTTTTAACAAAAATAATTAACTCCTGAAAATAACAAACAAAAATATGTATTTGTATCATCAATAAAATTTATAATTCAATTGAAAGTAAAAATTATCATAGTAATAATCATTTTAACACTAACAAAGATGAAATTTCTTTTACAACAATCATTTTCGTATTTGAAAGAATTATTTATAACAGTGAATATAATGTTTAGTTTATTCACAAAAATATTAAATGAATATTTATCGCTGTAATTACAGAAAATAGTATATCAAATCATAATAATCATAATAAATACAAATTTTGAAACATTTTATGGATGTCAACAAACAAATGTCCTGCTGAGTAAGAGGTAATAATGTGAGTGTCAATAACTGCGACATACCTATAAAATTGAGCCTAGTTATTGACACTTATATTTTATTAATAAAGCTTTATTTAATATGATTTATTGATTTTTTAGACTAAATAATGGTTCATTATTAAACAATTTATATATATTTTATTATATTTTTATACTTATATAATGATTATTTCACTGATTGAATCGTCGAACGCGCTTCCGTAATTTGCTTAGACCATAACTAAAAAATGGCTTCCGCAGTCACTCCACACTTAAAGATTGTTTTTTATTAAGTTTTCTTATTTTTTATTATTGTGCTTGTCATTAATTAGGTACAGAATAAATTTATTTTAATTTTTAAAAAATTTATTAACCCACTTAAGATCTTTTTTTTTTTTTAATTCAACATAAACCTAAAATTGTCAGAAACTGGGCCAGTGTCAATAATTGGGTCTTTTACCTTAATTATTGTTAATGTAAATGCTAAAAATATATGCATGAGAACTTTTTTCTCTTTTTTTCTTGTTTGATCGGTTAAACAATAATGGTGTATTTCGTATGAAGTATCTCGTGAATTCCTGCTCAATAAAATTCTTAAGTGTGTGTCCGAGAAGGCGTTGACGTCATAAATCTCTTTCTGAAGATATCCAGGTGATAAAAGGGAAGTAAAGCCATAACATTTTAGTGGAATTTCCACAAATTTTTACGACTTATGTTGGGGAAATGGAGGACACGAAGGACTTTACTACCTGAATGATTTGATATCAATAAATTCAAGACGTGACGCCCGTAATAATGTCCCTTTGATGGGATTGCCCACTGAAGGGACAAGCTGTCGAAACGTCGTCGGTGAGACGTTTTATAGGCCCTTTTAAACACGCGTAATATCCTCTCCTCGGGTCGTAGGAATATTTTTTATTTTAAAGGTAACAATCGGACTAACAGAAAAAATTATACTTTTTTTATAACAAATTTGCATTTAAGATTGCATTAATATTGCAAATAAACAATACGTGAAATTAAATTAAAATTAAATAAAATGATAAATAACAACAACTTTATTTCAAGTGGAAGCAGCTTTCTAAATAATTTTTATTTTAAAATCTTTCCCAAAAATAAAAAGAAAAAATGTTAACAAAGAGGTAGGTATATATGTTCTATGAAATGAATGATTTGCCTTATTTTTATAAGTAGTAGGTTGAAGTTTTTAAGTTTTGTTATAATATTTGGACATCGTCCTGATGCTAGAAAGACAATATTTACATCTCATTCTTTTGTTTTTCAGATTCGGAGAGCAACGAATGGTAGAGAAGAACTGAATTAATGGTAAGTACCCAGACAATTTTTTTATTTCTAGTAAGGATTCTTGTAGATCACTGATTATTTTGACTGTGTATTAGGTATATAACGTTAGAAGTTTTTTATTCTTTAAACCTAAATTAAAACTTTTTGTCTTCATATTTTTTTATTTTAAATTCACCTACACAAAAATTAAATAATAAAAAATTCTTGATCAGTAATTTATCGGAACTATCAGATGTGAATATCAATTTTGATCTTAGAAGATCTCATCAGCACACACCGAAGATGCAGCATATAAGCACTTTTCTGTAATATCGAGTTACGGAAATATGTCGCTATCTTCTGATATTTGCTATTAATTGAACTATTAAAACATTACCACTTCGTCTAACATCAGATTAAAGTCAGCAGTGTTGAATTTATATTCATTATTATCTGGGGTACCCGACTTCAGGGAGTTGATATGACATGTTGTGGTAGTTGAAATAAAAGGATAAACTTTAAAGTATAAGAGGTACATAGGTAGCCCGACATATGCAAAAAAGGCTTCGAATAGTCTACAATGTTTTAGAACATTTCACAACATTCGAGTGTGTTCTGAAACGTCCCACAATGATCTGGGACATTTGAGACTATTCCCGAACATTCCACAACATTCCAGAATGTTCCAAGATGACCCAGAACGTTCTAACCGATGACGGATCTTGCTTTACATACACTCTACCAATAGGTACCTTTATACAAAAAAATCTTCGAATGGTCCACAATATTCCACAACATTTCAGAGTGTTATGGAATGTTCCATAAAGAGCTGGGATGTCCGCGAACATTCCAGAATTTTCTGGAATATTGTGGAATGCTTTCGAATACTCTCGAATGTCCTGGACTGTTCCAGAAATTTCTAGAGGGCGAAACTTCCAGCCGCTATATTCAATAGCATGCCCTTCAGGCAAAAATGGGAACTTTTTTAGTGGATGGGAGTTAAAGGGTTATCACACCATATAACTCCCTTGATCGTACCGAGACTCATTTCTGTGTTTTAGCGGCACGCACATTGTACACTTTCTTTTATAATACATATTGATTACGGAAAAAACAGTAAGAGAATCGGTTCTTTACTTACCTGATTGTATCCCTCTCATTGCTGGATGGTCCTCGGCTGAACTGTCTGGTGTACCTTCCATGGCATCCCCGTCAAGACTATCATCTAGCGGGCAGTCGAGCGATAAATTTTGATTGATAGCAATGCCATCATTACATTTGTTATTGTTGTTTCTTTGACTTGATAATACCTGCATCTCCCACATTTGCTCCTGGCGAATGTCGTCGTTGTAGTCCTGGAATGACGAATGCTTCAGTAATACAAATTAAAAATGGAGAAAAGGTTGTCAATATAAAATAATAATTTATTTGCTAGAAATGCTTTTTGAGCTTCAGTTTTTACAATTTTTGCATTTAAAGTTATATTTGTGACTAACAATTTAGTCTTCACATTCTCGTTCTATTCCAGAGATTTCTGGAACACAATCACGATCTGTTGTAGTAAATTCTTCATGTTGTTTTGTTTTTTGTTTAATAAGTGTCGTTTATTTTGTAGGGTGTTGGCACATACCTCCTTGAAACAACGATCGGTTTAACATCAGACTCCGTGTAAGTAATCTATATATTATTTTTTGGTGAATTCCTTTCAACTGAATTAATTATTTCGTTGGTAAAGCCACGAGTGGATGTGAATGGTGCGGGTTGAACGTTGTAGGATCGTTAATGACGTAATCGGTCGGGCCCGCTTTGTATTATAAATTACGTTAATTACTGTTGGCTTTTTGGGGTAGTTACGAATACGATTTGATTGGATTGTATTCTCTGGTTTGGTTAAATTATGAGCAGTCGGTTACAAATGGATGATCGTGATGTGGCGGCCCGGCTTGCCCAGCCTCCTGCTGGATTAGTACACCATGCACACAGCGGTAATTAAGCTGATAGAGGCCAAATTATTCTTTTGATCGACTGGTTTTGTTACGTTGTCGTTATATGGGTAACTACCATCGTATGAGCGAAACATTACTACACTGCTCGTCCATTTTGGCTAAATAATTTTTCATATTGGATTAGATATATCTAACTAATCATCATAAGATCGTTAGTCCTAAGACTGCACCTCCACTCATTCCTATCCTGAGCCAATTTCCGCATTTCCCTAAAACTAGAACAACTTACATTCTTAACTATTTACGAATCTAGGCCTACCTCTACCCCTCCTAACTCCTAATGCCTGAGAAGTTGTCCTGATAACCTATTTCGCCTATTTCCTATTGATTTCCATAGAGCCCTCTGTTTTCCTATTCTTTCTAATACCTCTTCATTTCTAACCTTCTCTATCCATGGTGTCCTCATCATTCGCCGATAACACACCACATTTCGAACGCTTCTAACCTTTTCTTTCCCGTCACGTTCACTGTTCATGTTTCGCACCCGTACAGCGTCGCGCTCCAAACATACACCTTTAACAACCTTTTTTGAATTTCTAAATTAAATAAACGCACCTGACTTTCCTTAAAAATTTTTAAAGCACATTAAATCATGACACTAGTAATGTTCAAATTTTAAATGTTTCAAACATCAATAACTCATTTTTTTCAAATCGGAAGCTATGTTCATTTTGACATCCTCGGCTGCAAAATTAATTCTTTTTGGACTTTATTAAGGCATATTAGAATATACGCTTGACGGTTTTCAAAATAATTACGATTTGTTAATTATTTTGTAATGTGCAGAGAAAACGGATAGATCCTAGTCGGCATGGCGAAAACAAATTATGTCATGTTCATTCGAATTATTGATAAAATTACTGAAACCCAACACAACACAAACACTTAATGTCATAATAGATTGCCGTGACTCCACGAGCAGAATTTTCTCAAAAAGGCTTATCGTCGAAGTGAATTAAACTCCGATATAAACAATACTGGGAACAAACTTTATTTAGAATGAATTATAAAATATGTACCCTTGTTATTGTAAACCTTTCATTTTCACATTATAAATTTTTGTTAGTTACTACAAACGTGAAATTTTCTAGAAATTATTAACTCCAAAAAAATATCGTGCAGGCAAAAACTATATGCTTAACAAACTATAGACATTAAAATCGATGCTGAATTTAAAAATTTAACAATATATAGGGTGTTCCATTTAAAATAAGGCAGCTAATGTATACTTCCGGTGTATCAGGGAGTCCATCATCTCTGAAATTATTTATCGCAGATGGCCCATTGGAACAGGAACATTTTTTATTGGAAACATTTTCTTCCAATTTCAACGGCAAGGCCGCTAGAGAGCAAGGCGCGCTTATTGAACTACCCTGTATAATTCTGATATAATAAAAAATGAAAATTAACTTACATTATTCAACAAAACTAGAAAAGTACAGTCCATTTTTCTTACGTTTTGTATGATTAAGCTTTTTACGTCAGATGTATGACTCCAGATTTAAAGAAAATTAGAAAATCGGTTGTTTACTGACGATAGTTGAACGTGACAACGTCATAAGAAAATACTGATGGAATGGTTTCATTTTTCAAAAGAAAATTTTAATTTGATTTGTTTAATAGATACTTTGTATGGATATAGAGAAGGAGGTAAATGGAAATGTATTATTGTATAGCAGCTGTCCACGCGGACGTATCGCTCTCAAGTAGGAGAAAGACAGATGTCGAACGCTGCCGAACGCGGAGGCCGATTGTGACTCTTTGTCGCTCGTTCCGCGCTCTCGCTTGCACTTCAAGCCTTAAATGGAACGCCTCAGAGCGAGGTAACGCCGCATGAGTTATGTTTTTTCGTGCGTGCAGCCGGCTCCATCAAATTATAAGACGTTGTCACGTCAAAAAGTTGATGCAAAGCTGGATACTTTTCTCTAAACCAAGTTTTTCCTCGTATTTTATTTATATTTAGAAAGAACCGTTTGCTAACTTTATGAAGTTAAGAACGGGATTGTATTATCCTAACAAATTTCTTTTAAAGACGCAGTAGATTTTCTATGCTTACGTATGACTGTCTCAGGCTTTATTAAAACCAAGCTGTAAAATATCCGCGCTTCTTCGTTCCCCAAAAGATATTACTTACATCATTCCGTGTAATTCTCTCGTCTTTTCCTCGCAATAATGCTAGGCGCAAAACTTTTATCCCAGATTTTCTACATCGGATAGGAGTCACATCTGTGTGTAACGCCCCAGTTTGCAATTAATATTTCTACGACGATTCAGTTTTTTACTTATTTAAAGCGATCCTATTTATTTAGGGGAAACTCGGGCGTAATTTTATCCCATTACGGCCTTCGGAACTCTTGTTAATCCTGCATATTTATCAGATTATCTGCGATGCCATAATTAACTGTCTTTCACACGAACGAAGCGCATGTTGTTTTTGCAAAGGATAAGTTCGCAATTTTATCGTAGCAACTGCATTGTTAAAACCTAAATTTGGATGGACTTAAAAATATTTAGTTAAACCAAAATTACTTGTACGTTACAATTAACAGTCGAAGAAGATCTCAAACCCAGGGGCGAAACATCGGGAATATTATGAAGAAATAAAAAATTTTTTACCTGATAATATTTAGGATTCTTTTTATTGAATAATCGTATCAGGGAGCCATAATGGATATGAAATTACTATAGTACAGTCGAAATAAGAAGGCAAAGTCCCCAATAAATAATGCACACTAAAGGCATATCGTTTTTCTCGTTCTTACAAACGAAAGATATGCTGTCTTTATTCTCTAGACACGCCTCCTCCACAGCTGCGTCGAGTCCTGCACCTACGTTTCATAAGAATCAATCGAATAGAATGAGACGGTTGAAAACGTGCTCGTCTTGTTGTCTGTACCTACATTAAATGAGCACATTTTCAGGATCGGCTTAAGGTAGTAGTCGTGCTACAGTATGGTGAAAAAGATCTAAGATAATTCAATGCAATAATATTTACATAATTTCGATTGTACATCAAAACAGATTGAATGAGTTTCGTTGAAAGTTAACAACAAAAATAACAATAAAAACAACATTAACACCAACAAAAACAACGACAACAATAGTTACAACGAAAAAATAACTTAAACGGTATATGTAGAGAGATGACTATTCGCACAAATACACCAACTTTAAGCCGACCCTGTAAATTTGCCCATTTTATGTAGGTACAAATGATAAGACAAGCATGTCGTCGATCGTCTCATTTTATTCGATTGATTCTTATGAAACGTAGGTGCAGGTCTCGACGCAGCTGTGGAGGAGGCGTGTTTAGAGAGTGAAGACAGGATACCTTCCGTTTGTAAGAACGAGAAAAACGATATGCCTTTAGTGTGCACTATTTATTGGGGACATTGCCTTCCTATTTCGACTATACTATATATAACCTTTTAATATAGTCAGGGGTGATGTTAGGATTTCGAACCCCGGGTAGGCGTTCATAGGGATCCTCTCTTCCGAAAAAGCTTTTACCCCAACATTTTGGAAGAAAATTGGTTTTGTTACTTGTTTTCCATTCAATTAAAATGGATACATGACGTTTTCACTCCAAAGTGTAAAGAGATTTTTATAATGGTCGGGTCTGCAATCCTTTGGAGCTGTGGAAAACCCAAAATTTTAAGTCAACGCAATCAAAAGTTACGGCCTTTTATTATGGAACTGAATTTTTAAGAGAATTTCTTAATATCATCATAATAAGGCCGTCAGTCCCTTAGGACAGTCTTAACTGGTTGGATACGCATCTGTACTCCTTCCTATTCTGAGTTAATCTTCGCATTTCCCCAAAACTAGAACAACCCACATCCTTAACTATTTGCGAACGGTAGTCTAATCTAGGTCTACCTCTACTCCTCGTAACTCCTGTTTCTACCTTTAATATCTCTCTGACTAGACCTTCAAACCTATCTCGCCTGCTTTTTTTTGTCTTCCTTAGAGTCCTCTGTTCTCGTATTCTTTCTAACACCTCTTCATTTCTAACCTTCTCCATCCACGGTATCCTCGTCATTCGCCTATGACACCACATTTCGAAGGCTTCTAACCTTTTCTTTTCCGCCACACCCAGCGTCCATGTTTCGCACCCGTACAGCACTGCGTTCCAAACATACATCTGTAAGAATTTTTTTCAAATTTCTAAATTAATCGTTCGCGAGCAGAGACGTGAGTTGTTTTTAATGAAGACGACTCGACCTCGCAGTATCCTCTGCTTTATATCTCAACTACTCCTTCCGTTCTGATTTATCTGATTTCCTGGATACTTAAAATCGGTCACTTCTTCTAATTTTTCGTGTCCTATATACACAGTCGTTCCTTCCCTACTTTTTCTTCCCTTGCATACCAGCATTTTCATAAGGTACGATGCTAAAATGATGGATAACGGGACCGAAAAAGACTCCCTTATTTTTGGTTGTTTTCTATAATTAATATTGAGTGCCGCAAAATTTCTTAAAAAAAAAACAATTATGACGTTGATTGATTGTTCTCAAGAAAATTGCGTAAATAAAAATATTAAAGTTATAGTTGTTGTGATTGAAATCTCTCTACTTAGGAAAAGCAAAAAAGTTTCGGTTTGAGTAAAACCTAGAAAAGAAATAAACACGGATGATAAGGGCTAACAAACTTTCCATG